TCCCTGCCCCTGTCCTTGTCTGCAGAGCCTGCCCGTGGTGCAGCACCTCCTAAATCAAAGAACAACCCTGACTAATGCCCGGGAGGTGTGCGCAGCCTGGGGGCATCTAGCAAAGTGCGCAGCACTTGACATTTCAGCGTAATCGGGTTCCGTAGAACAGCCCGTTAAGTCCAACCATCAATTACCGCTGCTCAGTCTAACGCCGCATCCGCCCCCACACCTGGCAAGAGGCAGCATTAACCCCGGGGTCCTCGGGCTCTCCCAAGCAGTGCCATCATCCTCCTGCAAAGGGCTGTGCCACTGTCCCCTCCTCGCCGTGCCAGGCTGATGCGAGCCCCGTGCCCACTGCCCCTCCAGACCCTGGCCCCCCCGGCGCTGCACGGGCTGTCCAGCCTCGCCCTAAGAAGAGTCCATGCCGCCGGACCGGTGGTAGCTGCTTTTATTTACACAAGGGGATGACATGCTGGACAAGGAAACTGGTGCCACTGAAGTACCCGTAACAGCAGGATTCTGTGCTTTATTCACAGGACAAAATACCGGTACAACATTTTTCATGGATTTCTTTTCCAAGCAGATACATCTCACTGTCCTCATGGTTACACACTGTGCTTAAGTGCCAGAAGGCAACGCGGAGCGGCCGGAGCTCTGCCCATCCCAGCACTGTGGGGAGCCCCCACGGGGACAGCCCCACGGCCACTGCCCGCAGTCAGGGGTGTCCAGGAGTCCTGCTTCGCTTTGGGACACCGACGAGGGATGTGCCTTGGAGCAGCCAGCGCACAGGCTGCAAGGCAGGGCCATCACTGCGGGGACCACGCGGTGGTAAAAGCAGAGGGGACCCCACGGAGCAAGTCCCAGCACCGCTGCCCTGCCGGGACGGGCAGTGCCTGCTGCGCACTCATCCCTCGTGGCTGCAGAAGGACTCGTTGTCATCCCACATCCCGGCTTGCCCTGGAGCATCCCAGCCTCCCGTGGGCTGGGGAAGCCCCTCACCTGCCTCTGCTCGCGGCTTCGGGCAGGATGGGCTGGGCGGGGGGTCCTGGCTCCAGCCCCCTCCATGGAAGACTGCAGCCTCACCGTGGCTCTGCTCCTGGACGCTTACTCCCACCTGAAGTCCTGCCCGACCGTTTCATAGAATTTGATATTATAAGGTCTATAAAAGTCCCGAAGCTGCTCGATCACCTCGGGGTCTATCTGCACGTGAGTCCTGCCTTTGGACTTGCCCAGGCAGCGGGGCAAACCGCTGCTCTCCGACTTCTTCAGGCAAGGAAAGCCTTTCGTCTTGTTGAAGTAGAAGTGCTTGTCCGTGATGACCCGTTTGATGCCCAGGAAGTCCTGGACTTTGCCCATCTCCCCGGCCGGGTCTGTGATCAGCTTCTCCCCGCTGACAAAGTGGATCTGGGAGAGGGGGAAGTACTGGAGCCAGCTCTCCAGGTGCACGGCGTACATCCCGATGCGGATGGCGTTCCAGGACGTGTCCACCAGCCCCAGGCTGCGGTTGCGGAAGGACAGCCCCTCGAAGGTGGGGATGTCCGGCTTCTTGGAGAGCGTCTGCGTGTAGTCCGAGATGGCGCGGGTGACCGGGTTCCTCACCACCACGATCAGCTTCGTGTCCCGGGACATGTTGAAGATCCGCCGCGGTGCCTCCTTGGTGACAAAGTAGCTGGGGGTCTTCTCCACCGTGATCTGGCTGTCGAGGGTTCGCGGCATCAGGCTCCTGCAAGCGAAGCAGAAGGTGATGGTGAGGAGGGGCTGGGCCAGGCGTGGCACTGGGGGTGGTGTCCCCACACTGCGGCGTGTCCCCTCCTGGCAGGACAGGCAAGAGAAGGCAGGAGCAGGTAGGAGAAGGCAGAAGGCAGGAAAGACAGGCACAGCTCCCTCCTGCAGCGCTGCAGAGGGTCCCCGGGCCACGGCCATCTCCCGGGTCCATCCCAGCCCCAGGGACCCCTGCACAGAGGCTGGGGACAGCAGCAGCCCCACTTGCACAGCAGCGAGCGGAGATGCTCAGCTCCCGGGGGCAGAGCTGGGCAGGACGGAGGGCGAGGGCATGGCCAGACTGCCGGGGGCTCCCTGGGGACACGGGGCTCATGCCCACGAGGGTATCACCCAGCCTAAGGGCTCCGAGAGGGGTCCCACGTGCACCCTGCTGTTCCTGGCATGGGGAGATGGGCGGCAAGGCCAGGGAGGGGGGCACCAGAGTGGGGGAAAATGTGGCGTCCCCGCAGCCCAGCTTAGAGCTAATTAAATCATTTGCTTTGACATGTGAACATGCAAATCAAATAAAAACTAATGGGATGGAAAGATTTATAAATTGGTCTTGTGTCACTAGAGTAAACCATTAAATCCACTGCAGCCAGGGTCACGGTGCTGAGGGTCCCCTGGCCAGGAAGGGCGGAGGGCTGGCACACCAGTGTCGGCATCGGAGCCTTGCTGGGGGGCATCCATCCCAGCTCCAGCCTTCCTGCGGATTCTGCCTGGGACGGGGACCTGGAGGCGGCCGCTGCCAGCCTGTCCCGCAGGGCTGTGTCCCCTGCACCCGCCCCAGGGACAGAGGCTGGGGGGGAGCTGCTAAGAGTCACCTTAACAGCGCTGGAGCTACGAATGTCACCCACACAGCCTCGGGTCGCACGCAGTCGGGGAACGCAAACATCAGCAACGCTGTCTGCGGCAGTTCAGCTGGAGAGCCAGGCGTTGATTTATCCATGGGCTAAACCGGCACGGCCGCCACGGCCACGCTGCTGGTGTGCTGCAACGGGGGGCTGCGAGAGCTGCATCAGTCCCGGGACCAAAACCAGACACCTCCGGGGACCCTAAAACACGGCCCACGGCCACTGGCACCGGGGCTGGCCCTGCAGAGACCTGATGGGAGACCCAGCTGGGAGGAGACGTGGCAGCGCACAGCATCCCGCGTGAGGAGGGGACCGCGGTGGCAGAGCCGGGGCATCACAGGGGCAGCAGCTTGGGATGCTTGGGACCTGGATGCTCTCCATGAAGGTGACATGGGGACAACAAGAGACCGTGGTCCTGGGGGACCTGAGGAGCGGCTGGAAGTGACCCGTGGAGAGACACCGAAGAGATGTGCCCAGAGCTCTGTGCAGGCTGCTGGGGACAATGGCTGAGGCTGGCCACACTTCCCCAGCTGCTGCACAGGGACATGGTCCCTGCGTCCTGTGTGTGTCCCCAGAGCTGCCGGGACAGGGCTGTGGAGCGGAGGCAGCAGGGCAGCCAGCCCACCACCTTCACACGCACTCTCGACCGCTTTCCTCATTTGAAAGAGAACACGCTAATTAGCATAAATTAACAGGGCTGTGTTACAGCGGTACCTGCGCCGGGACGCGGTGTAATCGGCCGCTCTGCTCCAAACCCCATAAATCCCGATTACGGTTCCCCTTGCTTAGGGGCTGCCAGGAAACGCTAATTTAGCGGCAGCACCACGGCTGCATCTGCGTATCACAAACAAGTTTCATCGTAAATCACCGCGGGACAGCTTTAGAAGTGATTCACTATTGCAATATATTGGGGGAGAATCGTAAACTGCTGCTTCATTAATGGCTCATCCTCAGGCCTGTTAGACTTTCATTACGTGAGCTATTAGGTCCATGTATTCGAAAAATGAAATTACAGGTTCTAATCCATTACGGAAAACATGGAGTATCTGCATAGTAAATTACTGAAATGAGACAAGAGTAGTTGTTTTTTAAATGGGCTCCCAGTGTTTGCTGCTCCTGAACAACAGAGACTGCTGAGACAACAAAACACACCCCGGACAGATAAATAAATCACCAGCAAAACCTGCAAGGGGGAGAAATGTCACCCAGGCATTCATCTTCACCTTAGTGGCGGGATCCCCAGAGCTGCGAGAGCCGGGAAATGCATTGCAAACTTAATTACAGCTGGCTTTAAAATGGTATTTTTGGACTTGTGCATTCTCGGAGTTATTTGCATACAAATAGCATGTCACACCGCTTTCAGCCCAGTCGGTGCGAGGTGTGAAGGCTCTCGGTGGCCGTCACAGCACCGCGCGGGCAGGGCTCTGCTCCAGCCGCCTCGGGGACCTGTCCCAGGCACCCGCAACCCTGCTACCGATCCCTGTCCGGCCTCGCCACCGGCGCCCACGCACGCCCAGCGAGCTGCTGCCAGAGCTGACGCCCGCAC